GTTTGACCCAGTGATCCCGCTTCTAGGAATATATCCTAAGAAACCTGAAACCATCAGAAAGAATATATGCACTCCTATGTTCATAGCAATTTACAATAGCTAAGATCTGGAAACATCCCAAGTGCCCATCAGTAGATGAATGTATAAAAAATCGTGGTACATTTGTACCATGGAATACCACTCAGCTGTAAATAAAGAAGGCTCTTTTACAATTTGAAACACTAAGGAGGAATCTGGAGAGTATTATACTAAGCAAAATAAGCCAGTCAGAGAAAGACAATTATCACGTGACCTTACTTATATGTGGAATCTAATGAAAAAAAATCAACTGATGAATATTATAGGTCAGACATAGAAGGGTCGAACAGACTGATAAATATCAGAGGAAAGACAGGGGTGGGTGGGAAGAGATCAACCAAAGAACTTATATGCATATATTTCTCAAGTGACTTTTGTCAGGAAGGAGGTTGAGTCTGGAGCTATATTTTAGAAATTTTGAGTCAGAATAGTATAATCAATGGAATTTGCCAATTAAAAAAAATAGAATCTATGGTACTAGGCAATGCAGTTGATAACCAGACTTTTCTAAACGCTCAGCCATCACTGCAATTATTAGACCTACACAAATGCATTATTATGTTGATTCATTAGTGCCAACATCTTTAAGACATTTCACACAAAAAACATATTTGAAACTCTGTTCACTCAAAAATATTTGATAAGTTTTTCACTCAAATTATACCATGTAAGACAATTTCTGATACAGTCTGCTGCCTGAGCTTTATCACTGGTTATTCTATCCTGTGAAATAGTGACAAGGCAAGAAAAGTAAATGCAAGAAATAAAGTTAATTACTGAGATTTTAATAAGTTTTGCTAAAATGAAATCAATGGAATATTAGATGTTGAACATTATATTAGTGTCCTACTCAATGTCACTAGTCTCTTAATAGGATCCCCTGCAACCGAGGCAGGTGCCTTTGACTGGAGTCAAACGTAACACCCTTCAGTCCCTGGGCCAACTCCCTGGCTAGGGCCATAGTCACTGTGTTTAAAAGATTTTTTTTCTTGGATTTTAGAGAGAGAGAGAGGAAAGGAGAGGGAGATGAAGGAAGAGACAGCAATGTGAGAGCAAAACCTCTATCAACTGTCTCCTGCACATGCCTACTGGGGATCCAGCCTCAAACCAGGCATGTGCCCTGACCTGGAGTCCAGTCAGCAACCAGTGTGTGCCCAGGACTAAGCCCATCCAACTGAGCACACCAACCAGGGCCCTAATCACTTTTAAATCACATTTTGCATTAGGATTGGATTCCCCTTCCCATTTTCTATTAAACTGGAAACCATTCTCCCCTATTATTTTTCATTTGAAGAAATGTAAAAAATATTTAGATTAATTTCCAAAATATTGATTAAATTAAATTAAAATTTATTATATTGAGATATAAACGAGGGAACGCCTATCTATTCTAGCTTGACATGTGAATTTGTTTTTATGGTTTTTATAATATAACATTTAATATCCTTTTTTTCTAAGTCAGTAAATTAGTTTTGTAAATGTCCTTAAAGAAACCTAACCTTATTTCTTTACTGCCATTGTTGAGATAATATGAGAAAAATTAACTCAAAATTCTAAATACTTAAGTTTCTGGATAATGAAACTGCAGTAATCAGTGTACTTAGTGGTTGTTTTAATGATTCTAAATTTTCCTTTCAGAAACAAGTAATATCTATTTTGTGGTAATTAGCCAACGTCTTTTCACTCTACACTGAGTTTTTATTATCAAGAGTTGAAAGATAAGACTGCTGATTGAAAAATAAAGCTGAAATAATGCAGGGATGAAATGCAATAGACCTCAAGTTAAATAACTTAGTCAAAATGAAGAAAGCACATTATTCACACTATTTTATGTGGAATGCCCTCTCTTGGAACCTCTGAGAAATAGAATAATTACTAAGTCACTCTTTGGAGTTTTATTTTTTATGATTATAAACACTTGGAGAGGTTTGTAGTTTGAGGGTATAATTTAAACTTAAAAGGATGAAAGATATATGAGTATATTATACCAATACGGGGACTTTTGTTATCCATCAGCTGTTTATCACTAGTTTTGCCTATTCTCTTCATAACCACTCTAACACTATGAGGCAGTGGTTCCATTTTTCAGCAGTAGGTACTATTCACATGTATCCTGAATGTCTCAGATAATTGTGTGCATCATATAAATAAGGGACAAGGTGGCAACCTAGAGAACATGAAGACTATACCTACTTAGTCAGAGATGAGCTAGTAGAGACTAAGCAAGACTCTGTAGTCATAATAACAGCAGTGAGTACTTTTCCAACCTCCCCCAGGTCTTCTCACTTTCTTCATGTATAAAAGAGGGGGCTCCTTTGTACTAGATGAATGGTTTTCAGTTATTTTTTTTTAATATAACAAGGAATTGTTCAAAATGAATCCTTCACACCCAAATGTCGACTCATGAACGTGAGGCCACCCTGGTGGGAAGAACCTTTTCTTTGGCTACATTGCAGTTGGCTGTGGCATGGGGCATGTGTCAGCTCCCAGGTTCCTCAGCATCCTGGGGACTTGAACACCATTGCAGACAATCTCTCAATGCCCAAGGTCTAAATGCTATGGTTGGTTACATCATTGCCAAGTAAATTGCCATATCCATGGTATTTCCATTCCTTGAATCTTATATACCAATCCTTTAATTGAGTGGAAGTTCACTTGTAATACCAGATGGAATTAAAAGTGTGTGTGTGTGTGTGTTTTCCCCCACTGAGAGGAACATAAGATTTTCCTGTTTAGCTTAAGCCATTTGGAATAAGTTCTTTTTTAAAATCTTGTAATTTATCTGTCCAAATATAATTTTGCATTAGGAGTCAGTCTATGAAAGGAGGAAAATTAGTGCCATTTTCTTGGACAGTGGGCTACCTGCTGAATGACTTACCAAGTTTTCTCCTTCCCACCCCAACTCTGTGTCCTCCTGTTCTCTTTTCTCTGCCTCCCACTCTGTCCTTGGGGGAGGTCCCTCCTCCACTGGATTGCTCTGGGAACCTTGAAACATTCTGCCTTTGCTTCTTCCTTCTCTGTTGCTACTAGGGCCTTAGGGATTACACTTTCCTTGCTCCTCTAATTTAAAAAAGGGAGAAAGGTTAGCGCTTTTGCATCTGCCCTTGGAGTGGCTAGATGCTTGCAACCCAATCAGTGATGCAGAATGATTTTTCATACACAAATGATGTTATAAGTGCATACCACAGACTATAGAATTCTTAATATTACATATTGTAATATATTTACTGTATAGGTGAGTTCCTCAATGTGTGCTGGCCTGGGAATCTATCAACTTTTATAAATGCTATTTATTTTAGAGAAGTGAGGTCTGTTTTTCAGGTAACCACTGTAGAGATGAACAGCTGGGGGCTCAGCATGTTTATTTCTTGGTGTCACACACACTCACTAATTCTGCATCCATCCGTAAGAAAATACCCACACCTGCTTCTCCTTTTCCATGTAAATTGAATTTGGCCTGAGAGGCTGATAATAGATGGAATATTTTCAGGTCTAAGCTCTTCTTTTCAATGTAAATATCATAGAGACTGGATGCGATAAAATTGACATTGGGTACCACCATCATATCCAGATTTGTGAAATGGACAATTGCCTTACATAAATAACAAGTAAAAAAAAAAAAATCAAGCCAACCTTCATAAATATTTTATTCTGGAGTGTGCTTGTTTTCCGAAATTACCTCTACTAAATCTCCTGTCAGTCTTGAAACTAGAAGGCAGAAAAGCTTCTAGTGCCACAGCCAACTGCAGTGTAGCCAAAGAAACAGGCAACAAAAATAGAATGCCAGGATTGCTGTGCGTGGGTGAGGCAGAAACCACACTATGAGCAAAAGCTTCCAGTATTATTTTAGAACCAATACAGAGCTCTGCACTGCTCTCCTCTCCTTTCCAAAAACACACACTGCAAAAATAAAACGCAATGAAATGTATGTGCCTTTGCCCTCTTAGAATTATGTTTTCTTAATTTTTTTTTATATTTTATTTTTTTGCTTTCCTTTCTTCGGATGCAAATCCCTAGTGTGGAAACAGTGTGTGAAGCAAGCTCAAAAGGGAGGAAAGAGTTAATTGCTCCCAAGGCCCTGCAGTAGAGAATTATGGTTTGAAAGATAGAGGCCGGACAGCTGGGTTTGCTGGGGTATTTTTAAATGCATTAATGCAGGCTCCAATCACTCGGCCAGGCTTGACCTATTTTTGGCTCAGGCCGACCATTGTTCTATTTCTGTGCCTGCGGGCCGTGCTGTTGTTGATTCATATGCAAATGGATTATCACTAGGTTTAGCCAACTTGAGCTGAGAGAGACCAGAGAGGGAGGAAGATACACACACACACACACACACACACACACACACACACACACACACACACACACACAAACAGAGAAGGGCACCAGCTGAAACCACGCGCAGGACTGCCGCTCCTGGCAGGAAACTCGAGCAGCTCCAAGAACTTTAAGCCAGGTTCCATTGGTTTCTCTTTCTCGTGGGTAGAGTTAATATTTTTCTACTTACTCTGACAAAGCAATAGCCCGAAGCACATTCCAATTCCCCACCTGCTTTTAGTGTCCCGGTAGCCTAACCTCCAGAGAGCCAGAGCATCTGCCCCGGGTCCTCTCTGCTCTGCACACAGGTTGGTAACGTGGGCAAAGTGTCCAGGTCTTTGGAGGAAAAAAAAAGTGTGTGTCCATCGGAACAGAAAGGGAGTCGTCGTGGGAGTTGATCCTGTGCTGTTGCTCCTTGGGGAGGAGGGAGGATCAGCCCAGGGAGGGTAGCTCAGGGCCCCCTGCACACAGAGAGAGCAGAGATGAATCTTTCATGGAGCTGAAGTCAGAGTGATTGCAATATGCTGCAGACCATTTACGAGGGTGACTCGTGTTTTTCCTCAGATGGGGTGGCTGGACGCGAGCAGCTCCTGGCTCAGCAGAGAATGCACAGTATGCTCAGCTCAGGTAAGAGCCTCTCTCCTCACTGAGACGCGGTGGTACCCAGGAAAGGGGGGCTGGCGTGGGGAGCCCAGAGAAGAAAAAAACACAGGTCTCTTAGCTGCTTTCTGGTGCTCGGGCTGCTGTTTTCTTGGTGCTACTGTGGGGTTTGTCTTCGATCCCTTTCATTACTGTTTCTGTGCATATTCAGTCTGCTGGGGGCCGGCTGCTTCTGAATGGAATCGCCAGCTTCTGAGGAAGGATGGGACTGGGATAAAGTCAAATGTAGTTGGGGGTGTCTGCCTGACTGGATAGCTAGAAAAAGGAGCTCGGTACTGATTGGAAGCCTATTCTAATGGGAGTTTGAAAAACCAGGTAAGTTCATACCGGGGCTCCCGTTCAATCTAGCCTGATGGTTTTGTGTTTACAGAGTGCAATACAGAAGCACGTTTATTTATAGACCTACCTTATGAAATGTGCGTGCTCTGGAGTTGTGAAGGTAGTTTTAGCGTGTCTTTTTTTTTTCCCCCCTCATCAGCCTAAAATGAAACTATTTCGAATGAAATAGGATTATTATTAGCAGATGGTTATTTTCGTGTTCTTCCAAGCCAGGTGGAGAGTCTCGCTAGCATTGTCAGGCAGATGCAATGGCATAACACACCGCAGAGGTGTTATATGCAGGTGCAATGTTTTAAAGAAGAACGGTAACAGCTTCCAGTGTCTACTTTCCCTGTCTGTGCCTGTGCCCTTGCCTCTAAGGAGGCGTGCTGATGAGAGAAAGCTTGTCAGCTTTTACCGATTTCTGTCTGTTCCAAGAGGAGACTCTCCAGGCAATGGCCCTTGTTTGCAACCGCTGCCTTTCACCTTTACTCCCTCCAGCCAGCTCATCATGGGGTTTGTGTTGGTCCTCTTCTGAATGCTTCCGTCTAACTGGACCTAAAGTTCTCCCTCACCGTTTCTAAGTTCCCGTGTGGGCTTAATCATAATAATAGATCACCATTCGGCTTCCACGATGAAAATGCAGCATCCAACAGTGTTTACTGGGTAGAGCTAGATGGGAAAGAAGTATTCCACAGGTTGGCAGGATGCCTGTTACACTGTGGAGCGCCTTACCCTCCACGGATCTGTGTCTGAAGCAAGTTTTCTTTAAACCTCGGTTAATGATGAGGCGTTCAAGATTCTCCTGTGGACCCAATCTTTCTATGAAATTAGAACAAAAATCATCCATTTTGTACTATCTGGCATGTTTGCACTTAAGTGACAGGAATGCTATTCATCGATTGTGTCTGTTTACCTAAAGCAGCTGTGCCAGTCAGCCAGCACATTTTATTACCTTCCTGCCTGTGACTTGGACATGAGCTTGGGGAGAGGTCAGCTGATGTGTCTTGAATGGAACTGGTCGTTTCACTTCTTAGCGTTTTACTTTTCAAAGATGGACCAACTCTTCCGCAATAACCATTTCAGATATCTTTTAGGATTGCACTTTATCTCTGGGCTGAAGTTTGGTATTTTCCCCCCCCAGAGGATAGAAACCAAACAAAGCTGCAATTGTCTCCTGACGCTGGTTCTCATTACAGGTGTTTCCAAGCTTCACTGTTTCTCAGTGTCTGGCGATTTTATCTAACTTTCTCGGACTTCAGGGGAGAGTCCATCTTTCCAACATTTAATGATTTTTTTTTATGCAAAGCAACCCTGTGCCAAGCAGGGCAGTGCTGGGGGCAGCCCATGTCCGCTGCCAGTTCAGCGGAAGCAACCTTGAAGCCCCAGAAATGAAAGGAAAAGGGATGTAGATGGATCAAAGCTCCCAAGTCTGTCTGGTTACATAAGGAAACCCCACTTTCTATTTATTTTTACAATTTGAAACGTAAACCACTTGCATCTTTCCTATCATGCTGTGCAATGTTTAATTTTGTTTCATATAATATGTCCTTAATTTTAATCTCCTCAACCAAGTCTTCATTGTATGCTTCCCCCGTAGGAACGTGGCTCTGACACTCGGGGTCACCGGCAGTATTTTACAAAATGCTGATGCCCGGGTTCCAGCCCCAGTGTTTCTGATTTAATTGCATAGGAAACAGCCTGAGTATTGGGATAAACTCTTCCAAGCAATCCTAACGTGCAGCAAACTTCGAGTCACTGATGTGAGGGGCAAAGGGGCCCTTTAAATTAATCTCGGAATTAGGGCTGTATTTATCTTAGGTTAGTTACTAATCTCGTTCAATTCCCTTTTGGATCCATGGCCTGGATGTGATGGATGGGCTTAGAAACTGATGGAATCTTTGGGTCTGAGAGAGAGAAAAGAGGTACAGTACCAGTGCAGCGTGCTGGCGAGAGCACTGTTCTCGGGGCCCGTGTTCTGAGAGCTCGCTCTGCTGCTAGCCCACAGTGGGGGTGGGACTGCTTCACTCACCTGCAACTTGAGGGATAATGATGTCCTCCTGATGACCTCATGGCGTTCACGTGAGGCTGAACTGTACCCTCGTGTTACTAAAGTGTGTACTCTCTATTATTATTACTGTTTCTAGTGTGTAAACCTGGGCTCCTGGCTCTTCAGTACAGACAAGTTAGCTTATTTGTCACTTCGGGAAATTGTTTTTTGTTTTGATAGAAAGTTGTCTTTGGTTATAAATAAATCAGCTATGTTTTTGTTTTTGTTTTTCTGGTCTGATAAGAATGAAATTGTTTCCTTGTGCAAAATGTGACCATATAAATCAGAGTGGTTAGCGTGTGCGTGCAGGTGTGTGCTCTGTGAGATGCCTCAGTGCATTGTATATAATCAAAGGCAAACAAGTTGTAGTTGTAGACTATGCAGTTGAACAGTGAAATCCCAACTGCAGATTTCTTGTGATTAATGTTTTAAAACTTTCGTTTTGTTGTTAGCCACTGTTTTAGAGTTCCTATTTGTTATTCTAATTATATTGAATACTATGCATTAATATAGAAGGTTTTTCTCCAGAGATCTTTATATGCTATTGAATTGTGTTTTATATAGTTCCATTTTTCTCCCTAATATTGACCCACCCAGGCAAGATATCTTAGGTAGAACTGTAATCTTCAATGTAGTCTGCTAATGTCTTTTTAGTTTAAAAGCGTTACAATGTTGAATCTTGGAGTTCAGTATAAGTGACATATTTTGCCAGTCTGCACTTTTGTGGCTTGTATGGGCCAATATGTGGGATAAATACAGCAGACACAGAAGCACGTGCAAATATTGACTAGACCACTCAGCAGTGCTGGCAGATCAGGGGTGTGCTTCAGGCAAATCGCTTAATGCTTTGGACAGCAGAGCTGTCCAGACAGTACTGGAACCATTATTATGAGAGTATTTCCTAGTGTTTGTACAGCATTAATGTAAAATACATTCACAATAAAAGACATTTTCACTATGTCTTCATTCTTTATTGTTTTCTTTTTCTCTATTTCTACTTTGTATTCTTATCTTAGTGTATAAAAGAAAAACATTTAGAACTAAATCCTGAATTTTTTTATGGAAAGTGTATCTTCACCTTTTGAGAATCTTTTCCCTCTTGGCATGTGTATTGTCAAGGGGAAAGGAACATTTTAAACTCGGTAGTCGTTTATGTCTGCTTGGAAAGCAGAATCTAATTATGAAAATGTAAGTCTGTGAAATGCTCCTGTCATGTCAAGAATCACTTCTGGTATTACCCATAATTGCTGTTTTGCTGTTCTCTAACTCAGGTTATCTTCACGTACAAGGCTGTTATCAATTTGAATATTGGATAGGTAGTAATAAAAAAGCTAGTTATAAATAGGCCCGTTCATAATGGGGACAGGAATGAGTATTTGTTATTTCTGAGCACACAGGAGGCATTATTGTTATATCTTTAAGGGAGAAGACTAAAAGAGGCCCACATTCTGAATTTTAAAGGGTGCTTTTGATTTTGGAGATGGGAAATTTTAAAAATAGAGTGCATAATTTATCACCATTAATAGATAAAATAGTGATCCTAAAATAGTATAAGCAGTAATGTGCCCTCCCCCCACATATACATGATAGTAACAATAACTGAGTAGAGAAAATGAATGGCTTGGCCTATTGCAATATACCTCAGAAACTAATAGTCAAGGAAAAGATGGAATCCATGATCAGAACAGAGAGGCCTTTGAGGGCCTAAATCCTGAGAGTCCCTTAGAATTTTACTGACAAGATGACAACTTGCTGAAAATTCTCTCCAACTTCGGAGAGAGGCAAAGTGACGAGGTATCTTCTATTTCTGTTGTGTTTTGTTTGTTTTTATTGTTGCTGTTGTTTCTTGTGACTGAGGAACAGCAGAAATGATTTTGGAAGAGGAATTAATGAAATGGAAGAAGGTGAACAAACATTGCCTGTCTGGAGAAATAAAGGCTTTGGAGCAGTATTCCACATGAGGGAAGTGATAGATAGTTCTTTGCAATGTAATACCCATCCCCAATTAAGCTTAGCGTTGCCTCCAAAAAGAAAACATCAACTCACTGAATCCAGGGAATTGTCTAATAATCCTACATAATAAAGATTTAATATGCAAATGGTTATTACCCCTTGACACTTGACATGTAATGACCAGATCATGGATCAGCAGGAGGGTAGGGCAGTGAGCTATAAGCGGGCAATGGAGAGCTACTGGAGGGAGAAAGACAGCAAGCTATGAGGGGTGGGGGACAGGGGTAGCTTCAGGAGGGCGGCAGCAAGCTACTGGCACATGTATTCCTGTGCAGGATTACTAGTTGGTTCTTATAAATAGAGTACCTAATTTAATAACATAAATCCTGTAAAACAATAACTCCGAGATGAGATGATGAAACAATAGAGTGAGATGAAAAAGGATATTTTAGATCTAGGGAAACAGATTGGGAATGAAAAAAGCATGATAATTATAGAACAAAAAATATTCATTAGAAATAGCAGGAAACAGAATAGACATCAGTGAAAATCTTTACCAACAAAGAGGAAAGGCTTGAGACAATCTGTTGGAATGAAAATGGAAAATTAAAGCATTTGGAGAGAAGTCAATGATGAGAAAGACAAA